ATTCTTTTCCATCCTTTCCTCAAGTCTGAGGGTGCTTTTGTTCTGGGAAAGGAGGGACCCTGGAGTGTCTTCATGGTGGCAGCAGGGTGCTTTGCTGAGGTGGTATTTGGAGCAGATGAGGGGCTGGGCCTGGACCTGGACCTGGAAGATAAAACTGCGCTGCTGAAGTTTCTGCACCGCTGACGTTTCTGCTGAAAATGTAGGTGAGCAGGAGAAGAGGAAGGAAAAGAGAGAGACCATAGCTGGTAAATTCAATAATGTTGAGCAGTCATGACCTGGTTTGGCCATGCCTTAGCGATCTTCTTGGTACTGTGTTCCTAAATGGTCATAACCACTGTGTCCATTTCCTTTGCGAGCCACTGATCTAAAACAATTTAGAGACAACTTTCTGCTTTTTAAGAGACTTGCAGTAGTTTTTGTCCTCTTTTGTGTGAAAATGTTACCCTTGCAACTGATCCATAATTGTGATTTTATGTAGTCTTAGCTCAAAATAGTTTCCTGCAAATATAGCAAGTTAAGACAGCAAGTTAAACTTTAAGTTTTTGTTTGTTTGTACTGTAGATCTTACTAAAATTGCAAGTGTTTTGATATGCTTGCCTTGGCAAACTTATGTCAGTTAGGTAGCATATAATGAGATGTTACACTTGCTAACTGGATTTTTCAGTTGATTTTATGACTATATGAAATTTGTAGCGTTGCAACAAATGAGGAAAACTGATAGGTATGGGGTATTTTATATTTCAGGTACATGTAAAATATGTGTGAGAAGTAGCTGAGCAATGTTCTGGCAAGAAACTTTTTTGTCTCTAATGGAAAAAGATAGTTTTGCTGTCTGCTGACCTGACTTCTGGAAGGAGAATTTCACACAGTGTATTACCATGAGTGAAAGTATCTCCTAAACTTGAAGCTTTACACTCACATTTCACAATAGAAAGGGGAAAAGTAAAATTCTATTTTTAATTCTAACAGTAAATGTTAAGAACTTTTGCAGTTGTACCATTCCCTTCTCTTGAGATTTCGGATTTTCTTGCTGTTAAATAGCTTGTTCAAATCTAATGATACAAAGTTAATAGGATAGATAGGGCTTTTGATCTGCTGAAACTTTCTTTATCTATTTAGCTTCCTGTGGTTGCAGTATTTTAAAATGAGTGCTGAGATACTGTTTGGGTATTCTAGTTTAAATTGGAAGTGCAGAAACTGGTATCAGTGCATGTAATGTATGTGTGTTGCTGAGCTGATGGGATTTCGGCTTCTCCAAAAACATTACTTTAATTCTTATTCTAAAGACCTAGTTGCATTCATAGATTGAAGTTGTGGATTTTCCTTTAGATATTTAATTGGTCTTGGTTCTTAGCAGTATGGAATTAGTTCTATGATGCATGTGTTTACTACTCTCACTTCATAGCTGTAGATAACAGTATTAGTTTACTGTAATTTAGAAACTGTTTGGGTTTTTTGCATGTTGTGCATTGGGAGTTTCTTTTCAAGAGCATTACTTACTTTGTGATATGTTTTAGTACCATTCCTGGCTAGTTGTTTTCAAGGTGAATTAACTTTTTTTCAATATTACAAAAGATCAAAGGTGTTACTATCAAAATTAACCTACATCTCTTCATGTTGGTGGCCATGCATATTCAGATGACAGCCAGTTCCTCTTAAGCTCTAAAGCTTTGAGGCTAAAGCCATCTATAGCAGAGAAATGGAGACAAGCTTTCATTTTTCTACTTCTTGAAATGCAAGGCTAATTCTCTAGTTAGTTTGGTTTATCTCAATGCCTGCAGACAAGGGTGCACAATAGATGCTGCTTAGACTGCTAACAAACAAGTTTTTCTGAAATATTTTTTGTAGGTCAGACTTTGATCACAGGAAATTGCTGATCTCTGTTCTGTATTATTTGAAACGAAGGCGGAATGTTCCGTTTCTCAAATTCTTAATTTCTGCAATCTGATGTTTATTTGCTTCTGTTTTAGGTTTTCAGATGGCTAGTTCTAAAGTTGTTGTAGATGACATACCATAATGTAGTATGCTATTGGACTTGCACTTCAAGCGTGCTAGCAGCCTGCCCGGTTTCCTTATAGGAGCTGACAGAAAGCTTAATGACTTCTTCGTGAGTTGTTTTGGTTCTAATCCTAGGCAGATAAGCCGGCGATACTGGGAGAAGCTATGATCCACTTATGCCAAGACTGAAAAGCAAAAGTGTTAAAAACTTTGAATGACTATTTCTCCTTCTACCACCCAAAATGAATTACAGCTGAAGGAATTAGGGCTAAAATGAGAATAGCAGTTGGGTTTTGATGATCTGGCTTAAGTCATTTAGTGAGTTTATGTGAAACCTTTGAACTGTGATTTGTGATTATTGCTAGTAAGCTTGGCTGGCCTGGGCAGGCAAGACATAATGTTGCAGTGCCAGCAGTAGGTTTGTCAAAGGATATTGGTTGGAGCCCTTTGGCACATTGTAGAACATTGATCCTGAGTTAGAAAGCACCTGTCTGACAGTGCTTTGAGGATGATTAAACATTTTTAGGCTTTTCTACAGTGGTGATGTCTATGGCAGTGACTTCTAAATTCTTTAGTTCCCTGGTTCTCGACCTACTGGCCAGCCATATGCAAACTATGATATAGTTTGTGAGCAGTAGTAGAATCATCTTGAAATGTGCAAAATTAAACTCCTAACTTTGCAAAATAGCTTGTTCAGAGGCTATTCAAAGTATAAATCAGTCAGTTGCAGAACATGTTTCCTAGGGTGTTGGAACAACACTAAGTATTGATTGAATCATTTCCTTGAAGCTCCATCGACTTAGGCTAAGGGAGCTTGTTTTGGGTTTATGTGCTTCGTATAAAATACAACTGGCAACTGTAAATAACCTTCTAGAGATAGTTTGGCAAAAGTCTTTCTGTCAACGTAACCAACAAAAATATTAACCAGCACAATGAGAATCACAGCTGTTAGGCAATATATTTCTTGTGCTGTAGTTATAACTTTTTGATTTGTTTCTTAATGGAGCAGAAATACTATGTTGATTAGGCATGTTATCTACCCCATTAGTAATCTTCATTGGCTTCTAAAAATTGGGACTTTATACACAGAGGATATGTGTTAGCCATTTGGTGCTTTAGACATGAGATTTCACTAACTGCACTACAGAAATGATAAAATAAGACTGGTTTAGCCTGGAAGGCCACAAGGGCAAGGGCTTCTACAGGCTGCTGAACTCCTAGTAATAGGGCGTGAGCATACTTCTGTGGCTGAAAGGAAATAAGGAAAGTGCAAAAGAAAATGTTCATGGTGTTGGCACTGCCAGAAAAGGTGAGCTGCTTCTCCTATTTTCTCTAGGAAGGAGGAGGGGGTAAGTGATGGCTTAAAGATAGTGTCCTGTAGTGATCCATCACTTGTATCACAGTGAATAGACTGCAAACACCCTGTGAATCTACAGAGATTTCTAGGTTAGGGCATCAGATACCTTTCAGTTTATTTACATAATACTTTCCAGTACATTATGGAAACTAATACTTTTAAAGGTGTTAAAACCTGAATTTGAAGTTTTGTCAAAACCGTTGTTTTCCTGTGGGATGACTGACTTCCTTGCCCACAGCTGTGTTGTCTGTAGAAAGTTTTGTGTGAGGAACTCCAATGTATTGGCAAAAATACACTGTGAAACTAGTTGATTTGCCATTCAGAGGACCCTTTTTTGTTGAGCTAGGACTAACAGTTTCACAACAATCAAGTGATTCCAAGGCTCTTGGAGTGATTCTGACTGTTACAGCGATGATTACAATTGCAGTATACTTCATGAGGCGAAGGCATATGTCCTATATTTTGAGACTATATGAGTCATTGTTTCCAAAATTTTGGTGAGAAGGGCAGCTGACAACTATTCTTGACCTGAATTTTCAAAAGACGATACCAGAAATGCAATGTGGTCAGATTGATGTGCCCTATACTTGGAGAAGTCTTAATTTTCGTTTAACTAAGTCAAAGTGTGAAGATGACAGAATTATGTAGCTGTCTTTATCTGCATGCTTTATCTGTACGCTAGCTACCTAAATGGTGTTTTTTAATTATTCATAATAAAAACAGTATCCAGTGTCTGAGGAAAGAGGAGAGCAGGGATGGGGCTTGATCAATGCAAAAGTTAATGAAACGCCTGTTCCTGTGCAACAAGAAGAGATCTATGTTGACAATTTCAGCTTTGCCCTTTGGATGATGTGTCCATATACTTAGATCATACATACAGTCTGTTTCTGTCACAGCAGCTTACACTTTCCATGAACTAAAGCAATTTGCCATCTACACAGATAGCATATTACGTGGATTTAGTTTTATAGTCCATGCAGCCTTAGACATGTAATAGTGTCAAGTAACATTACTGGGGATAATATCCATTGCCACAGCCTTTCCGTATTTATCTGCTGACAGTCTTCCTCCACCAGACTTCTCTAGCCTGTTACTGACGTCACGTGTGCATCCAAGCAGAAATAAACAACCTTAGTGTATCAAGGAACACATGTAGCATTGGCACATGTTATACGCTGTACTTAGTTTTCAGAAGTTTGAATATTGTTTTGCTTGATGAAATGGTGTTAATGAGCCTTAATGGTAGTTTAGCAATTTTGCCTTAATTTTCATGCTGACTTGTAGAATTTAATTCTTGTTATTGATTGTTGGCTAACATCAAGTACATTAGGCATGTACATTAGGCTGGAAAACACTACTTTAGGCTTCCTAGTAGGAGCAGGACTTAAATGATGGCTTCCGTTATTGGAATAAAATGGTTGTAGATGTTGATGGGATGTATACATTTTGGTTGCTTGTTTTTTAATGCGGGAAATATAAAAGTTCGGTAAAAGTTGTAGTAGCTGAAATGCTAGGTTTTGATCATCTCAAGGAGTAAAGATTTTGCTGAAGTGTTAGATTACTTTCCAGAACAGATATTAAAGGAATTTTATAAAAGCTGTTTTTTAATCAGATCTTGCTTTTTGTCTTTCCTTTCATAGCTAAACCAGGTGGACGGGTGAAATGTCAGTATATTTCTGCAGTGGATAAAGTGATCTTTGTGGACGATTATGCAGTAGGATGTAGAAAAGATCTTAATGGCATCTTACTGTTAGACACAGCTCTGCAAACACCTGTTTCAAAACAAGATGACGTGGTTCAGCTTGAATTGCCAGTTACAGAGGTAAGGTATGGGGGGGGGGGGGGGAAGGAGTATGTAAATAATTCTGTCAGAAATACTGAAACCAGACATTTGACCCTGAGTTTCTAGTGTGATATTAACAGCATGTAATGGAAAAGTTTCTTATTTATTAGCTGTCATAGGGCACTAGGTTTTTGCAGTTATCTGTATCTTGAACAAATAAGAACTTGCCTCATCAAAAGCACATTATTTCAGACAAAAGAACATTTTAGTAACCCGAAATAAGGACTCCTTTCCAGACCTTTGTCAGTACTTATGTATGGAATCTATATGCAGTTCTAGAAGTCAGTCTGGGCCTAGGCATCCTTGATTTTTTTTTTTTTGAGGCTTTCAGGGAAAAGATGACAATTAAAATGAGCTAATATGCTGTTGCTACATGTGAGGAATTAATGCTGGAATCTAACTTTTCTAGCTAGGTCAGTTGACCTAATGAAGTACTTTTTTCCCTGCAAACCTGGCTTCCCTGTTATGTTTGAACTATTGCAGGTATGACATTGTTCATCCTGGTTTGAGACTATATAACCAAGCATTTAGTATCAAGGGAGTCTAATGTATACATTTTTGCTTAGAGTGTAATGCTTAGGATTTTGTTGAATTGGTTTACCTTCAGCTAGTATAGCGTTTATGAGGAGAGGTAGTATGTGCATTCTTATTTTCAAATGTTGCCTAAAAAAAGATAGCTAACAATTGCTTCTATTCTAGGGCACCTGTTGATGAGGAAAGTAGCTTTCATCTTTGTAGTGGTCATGAAGTAATAGACCTGGGAAGTAAATTTGTACAACAGTTTTAATTACAAGTGAGAGTAATTCTTTGTTTGGGAAAAGCATAGAGCATCTGCCAATAGTAGTATTTAGAATAGTGCTTAAAAGTTGAAAAACCAAAACTGGACTATAGAATCCAGATTCTGAGTCTTTAAAGCGCTCTGAGAAAAGAGCACTTCCCACTCATCTCTGTGGGAAATAAATTTATATTGAGTGATGCACCACCAACAAACTTATCCTGGGCATTGATTTAAAATATTTGTATGCTCTTGAAGCATTGAATAATAGGTGCTTATTATGAAACATGAATGTGTGTTACATGTGGGGTTTTTAACTACTTGTCTTGAGTAGGAATGACAGCAATAAAATGCTAGTTCATAGAGGTCTCCAAAGAGAGCTTTTCAGGTTCCTCAGGCTTGCTGCCACTGGCATCATTTTTACACCATTTGTGGGTAACTACAAAATCTTGGTATGTGTGACTGAGTGTGAAGAGACTGACAGAGGTCAGCATTTCATTTCTTAAGTTTTGCTGTCACTGGTTTGCAGTCTCACATGGCTTCATACAAACTATAACTTTGTGTTAGTTTAGCTAAAAGATTTTTTGGTTCTAAAGAGTTTACAGACCCATATTTCAAGGTTAAAATAGAGCACTTCTCTGTAAAGGTCGTTCCTGTAGAAAAAAAATTGGACAATATTATATTTCAGTAGGAACAGATTTTGGGAGTTCATGGCCAGATCAGTGAGGTGTGAGGAAAAAACATTAGCAGTCTTCAGTTCTTACGTTTAATTTTAAAGAGGAGTACCCAGACCTCAAAATTTTAGTAGATATTAAGCAAATACCATGCAAACGCATCAGTCCACCTCTTTCATCATTGAAAGGTCAAGAACCTTTATCCAAGCAAGAGCCTTTATTTTTTGTTAGTTTCTAGAACTTCTCTGCAAATTTTTGCACTTAAATTAAGTAGTCTTTTTGTATGATTGATCTGGTTATAGTACAGTGCATCTTTATGCATTTCAAATCGGCAGCATTGACAAGTTATGATACAGCCTCTATGCTGTTTTTACTTCCCCATAGAACACTGTAAATATATGAACTTCCACAATCTATCTGGTTTTGTTCTGTCATCTGCAAGAGACTTGAGAAGTATGAGATGCCACAAGAACTGTAATTGTCTTTTTATTGAAATTTGAGAAACAGATACAGCCTTAGCTAGGGGACTGATTTTGCCTTATTTCTGTCTGTCTTCCCCTGAACTCCCCAAGGCTGTAATAAAGTGGCCATTTGGCCCAGTCTGTTTGGAGCAGTTTGTGGCTGTTTAAAGGACTGTCTGACCATTGTCCTTGGGAAATATTTCCCTGTGTTTGTAACTTGAAAGATTTCATATGAGGTTTTTCAGATGTTAGCCCACCTAACAATGGGTATCGAATACACTGTGTTTTGCACGTAAGGCGTACCTTTAAATCTTGCCTGTCGATGTGAAGTTAGCAGTCAGAGGGACAAGGTAGAAACAGATGGGATTTGGAATGAAAAAAGTCTATAAATGGATGTTTATAGTGTCCTTTTCTAGATGCATTATCTCTGAGGTTTTAAGAATGTCTAGATTCTAAACTAGCCTGTGTTTTTTCTGCCTCATTTTTCAGCTTTGTTGTATCAGCATTGTAAGTAATTTATGTCTAACTTTGTTGCAACTATGTTTTTCTCATTATCATGCAAGATACAAAGCTACTCAACTTTGTAGTCAAAGTCAAAATGTCAAGACTTTGTTCTTGTTCTCACTTTTTGTCCCTAAAGCTGAATGAATGCTTTTTAAGGGAAAGCACTGGGCAATAGATGTCTCCTTTTTGCTTGACTTTAATACATGTTCTGTTTTAATTGTTTATATGACTGACTTATTTAACATTTGGTATTATTGCCTTTGAGGGATCTTGTAGTAATTACTGTCACTATTGCCAAATTTATCTATTGATTGACCTACAAAATAATATTTGGAACTGCTTACTCAACTCTGGGTCTTTTATGGGAATTATGCTAATATAAGATAAAGTAGGATATGACAAATTACATTTCCTGGAATAATGAAACAGGTGTAATTGTTCTCTGTGGTTATCAAAGTGAATGCTAACTTTTCTTGCACATCTGCATCTTAGGCTCAGCAGCTGTTATCTGCTTGCATAGAAAAAGTAGATGTTTCTAGCACAGAGGGATATGACTTATTCATCACACAACTGAAGGATGGTTTAAAAAATACCTCACATGAAACAGCAGCAAATCATAAAGTTGCAAAGGTAAGAATTTGTCTCTGTACTGTCTAACATGGATTCCCAAGTCTAATTTGCTTGGCTAACGTTATTGAAGCATACAAAATGACTTACAGTGGTGAATTTTGTTTGAAGAGGATGGAATGTATTATGTTTTCCTTAGTTCCTCTGTGTGAAGTTTCACTTGTTAAGAGAACAAACATGGTTATTTTCTTGCTGATAAACCCAGCTAATAAACCTAGCTGCGCTTAAAATCTGATGTTACTGACTTTCCTTGCATTACATCCATGTTGCTTTTGTATGTCTGTTCTTGTATTATTTCTTGAAACCAAGAGAGGGTGCAAGATGTGTGCTTGTTTTTGCTTTTGACACTTTTGTGATCTATTTATTGCTTAGATGTTAAAATTTTAAAATATAAACTAGGCACTTTTTTCTTAATTTAGTGGGCAACGGTTACGTTCCACCTTCCTCATCATGTTTTGAAGTCTGTCGCCAGTGCCATTGTAAATGAACTCAAGAAGATAAATCAAAATATTGCTGCCTTACCTGTAGCATCCTCTGTGATGGATAGGTTATCTTACCTCTTACCCAGCGCACGACCAGAACTTGGTGTGGGACCTGGTCGATCTGTGGACAGGTATATTAAGACAAAATAAGTGATGAATTTTACCCCTTAGTTATAGCAGAATAAGCTCTTAAATGACTTTATTTGCCAAACAAATTAGCCCTATTCTGTACTTTCTTGCTTCTTACACATACCACTAATTAACTGTTCAATGCACAATGCACTGTCATATTACTAAACTTAGAGAAACCTTTATGGGTGATACAAGACTGTTTTGTTTGGATTCTGACTTTAATGCCAGGCAAATTGAATTCATCTTGCTTTTAATCCCAACATGTACTTTCAGAAAGGTAACAATTGCAGCCTTAAATATAGGTCCCTAGGTGGTATTGTAAAATGTGATATGTTCACCTAGACTGTACCCTTCATCATGTTTGATTATGGGTTTTATCTGTACAGTCATGTGCGTGTGACCAGTTACTTAAGGTACTGGCTTTACTCAAACTAGTACTGAAACCTTATTGAGACTGCAATGTTGAGATGTTCCGAAATTGCAGAGTGTTAAGAGTGTATGTGCGCCTCTTTTGAACGCAAAGAGAGTGCTCATTTGTCTGCCAAAGATAGAGCATACATTCTATGTTGTATCACAAAATCAATTCCTTTTCCTTCGTACAAGAAAGAGTTATGCCTATGTTTTGTGTTTTAGAAGTTTAGGAAGTTGTTGCCTTTGCAGCATATAGATACACAGCTACTTTTGTACTCTCTAGTCACCTGCTATGTGTTTGGGGTCAGAGAAAATTTTACCTCAGGTTGTTGCTTCATCTCTTTCTGATCTGAGTGATAATGTGTACACAAGTGAGTACCCCATTATTTTACCCTCGTTAGAATACTGGTAAATCTTCTAAGTTTATAAATTAATACCTTCTTGAAAGTTTCTATTCAAATATTATTTTGCAAGTGTATTATTTCTTACAGCTCAAATAATTTAATAAAATTGATTTAATCTCTTACTTCCCGTATCCAAGTGTCCAGGTCTACCTGTACCTCTCCTTATTGTATTTTTGGTTAGAGCTCTCTGAGATCTGTCTCTTAAGATGGTATATGTCAAGCGAAGACAGCCCTTATGTGGGTGTTGCAAGAATAGTTTACATCCTTCACAGGAGATGGTTAATATATCCATTCTCTTGTAAGACAGCAAAAATCTCCTGAAACAAGAAGTGAGGCACTTTCCTGTCTAGCAGTACTAGTTCTTGGGATGATACTGGAGAATAAACTTCTGTCAAGCAAAAAGAAAAGCTGGTAGTGGTTTCTTATGTACTATTTCAGATGAGGGACATGCACTGAGTGAAGGTGGAAAAGAGAGGAGCTTCTTTTCTTTGTAGATGTTGAGTTGCAGAGGAGTTCGTACTTAGCAGTTTGTAACTTTTAAGCATTGTAGTATGCAGTGAGTGACGAATGTTGGGGGCGTTGTACCATGTATTCAGTTAAGCCTAAAATATCACTTTAGAGTGTTTTTAAATATGCATATTCATATCTGTTAAACTAATAAACCCAAATTATTGCAGTAGTTGTCATATTAAAAAATCAAGTCTCTAGCAGTTCTACTGGGCTAGATTCTGCATCTTCCCTAAATGCAGAGTAGCTTTGGATATCTGATGCTTCTCTGTGGTTAGACCAAATAGGCTACATGGAAGCTTATTTTATTAATCTTGCTTTTAAGGCCTGTAGGTTGTTGTATTGCTTTTGGTCTTTTGCTGAGGATGTGCTTTAGCCACCCAAGTGAAGGAACTTGGTAACTTTTCAGTAACTGTTAGTGTCAATTTTAACTATAAGTTATAGGTTGCTGTCTAGTATTTCTAACGGTTACTAAAACATTGAAAATCTCATAATTAATATCCATTTTTTTATTCTAAATGGCAGTTTTGTGTAATGTAGAATTTTTCACCTTTCTAGGTCTTTGATGTATAGTGAAGCTAACAGACGGGAGACATTCACTTCATGGCCTCATGTGGGTTATAGGTGGGCACAGCCAGATCCTATGGCTCAAGCTGGGTTCTATCACCAGGTAAAAGGTTTAGCTGATCTTAGTATTTGTTCCCTAGGTGAGGGTTTGGGGAGCAGGGGAAAAAAGTTGTTTGTTTTGGGTTTTTTTATGGATTCCTTCAATGATGCAAAAACCATAACGAAAAAGTTTGTCATTCAGTCCTTTTCTTAAGTTTCAGGTTTTTTCTGTGCCTTGAGGTTGCTTCTTTTTTTGTAGAGATCACAGAAAATACTGTTCTGAACTTCAGCATGTAAACCACTTTTAAGTATCAAATTGATCTGAGTTAAACAGCAATAATAAAGATGGAGCTGGTTGTTACATAGAGTCTCTCTTTCTTCTTGTTAGGTTGTTGAGCAAATATCCTTACTTTTTATAAGTAAAGCAGTAAGCTTGACATTGGAGTTCTCTAACCATACTGTCCTGCTGGGACTTAAACTGTATTGTAACAAACAATGGTCCTGGATCACATGACTAAGTTATTAAGCTTAGTCAATAAATACAACCTCAACATTTTATTCCACTACTTTTGCTTATTTCCATTTTTCATTCTTTGAAATTATTTCTACTATTAAGTTATTTATGATATGGATTTACATAATGATGACTAAGCAGTGTGTGCCATCTGACATCAATATTGTCTGCCTCATTATGCCAACTGCAAAGCATGATAGGTGCAAGTGGATAAGGTTTTTGGAGGATTTCTTAAGTTTGTTCAAGAGGGAAAATGTGGGGAATTCATATGTTAGAATTGCATCTGCATATTCCCAAGCATATCTCAGTGACTTGAAATGTGGTCATGAAAATGGTAAATTTTAAGAGAATGGAAATTTCCATTCTTTTTCCTCTGTCACTTCAGCTAGTAACAACTGTTCTTTGCAGAGGAGTGACATAGAATACTTTATATTCCAGCAGATTGAAGGCGTAATAGGAAATATTTGTTTAACCTGTGTTTTTCTAAGCATACAGCTGTACAGTTATTCTGCTGAGGGTCTAAATTTTTTGAACCTTGTGAACCTTTTCCAAAGGATAAGAAATCTTAGCAGTGATATTGAGTTCTGTTTTATGTCTGTGTGGTTTATATGCCATGGTTTGCACAGATGTTGCTTCTGAACCTCTTCTATAGTAATGTGTTGTATCCCTTTTTTTTGAAACGTTAAATACTGCCACTTTATAGTATGTAATTGTGGCCTTATATACATTTGATGTGGTGCTTTGCTATGCCACTAGAAGGAGAGGACTTGATCACCTAGTTAAAGTGTTTTGTAATATATAGCTATATAAATTTCAAGTGTTTCTTCTTGTATTTATAGCCTGCTTCATCAGGAGATGACAGAGCAATGTGCTTTACCTGTAGTGTGTGTTTGGTATGTTGGGAGCCTACAGATGAACCTTGGTAAGTTTAATGATATTTGGAGTAGACTTAATTTTGTGCTTGGAGATGTTAGAAATCTCTGGAGGACAAAGATCAACAATATCTCAATGGGATTTCTGGTGGGTTTAGGAAGTGTTACTGACAAGAAGGGATTTTCAGACTGATGCCATGAGACAAATCATAAAATAATTTCCTGTACTATGTCAAATTTCTGTATAATACTAAACCCAAGAAATCGTAGTTGGTTTTATTTTCTTAATTCTGATTTGCTGTTTCATTTCAAATTGTTCCATGGCAGAGATGGCAGCCAGCATTTAATTTCAGGGATCTAAACTCAATCTTCTGTGTAATTGTGACTAGAACACATTTTTTTAAGTTCTTAAACTGCAATGGCCATGCAGTGCATATTTGCCTTTTATGTAAAGTTGCAAGATCCATTACTAGTTTCTTGAATCAGCAGAAGTTGTGCATATAGACAGAAATATAGGACCTTATGTTGATTTTAGAAGGGTTCTTAACATAGTTTTTGTCTTGATTATTTGATAATTTATATTTAAACACATCAGATTCCTGATTTGCTGGAAACTTTCATTTGTAATATTATCTTCATAGTTCTTGTGTCCTCATTTCTCTTGTCAGTTTCCAGACATCTTGTACTAGTGTAATTGCTCTTTGCCATATCTCTGCCTTAGGTATATATTGAGATTAGAAGGGTTTTTTTCATGTTTCTTGGTCAATGTGTCATTCAGGACTGTTTTCAGTTTTGAGTTCTGTAAGTGGATGTAGAACTAAAGACAGAACATTGCTTCATCTTATTAAGGTTACTTATAATAACATCTCATAACATTGGAACTCTGATGTATGTTCTGTAGAATTTAATCTGTGCCTTTCTTCATAAGGACGTGATGGGCTACTGTCTATAGAAAAATTACTTTTTCTAAATGGACTAATTATATTAAGGGCACTTTATGTAGATCCCTACATTTGAATATGAATATCCATTAAGTGATCAAAGGCTTTAATACAGTCTGCTGTTGAGAAACAGCAGGGAAAGCTGTGTTAGTAACTTCAGAGCTCTCTGGTATGGTTGGCTGCCAGTTCAGTTTCAGCTTCACTTCAAGGGCTAAGTTTGTATATGTGTATATTTTTCACAGTAAGAAATCAATGTTTGCTATGTTTGTTTTTAATACGGAAAGGTCTGAACATGAGAGACATTCCCCAAACTGCCCATTTGTCAAGGGTGAGCACACTCAGAATGTACCTCTTTCAGTCACACTGGCAACAAGTCCAGCACAATTTCCCTGCACAGATGGCACTGACAGAATAGCCTGCTTTGGATCTGGAAGTTGCCCTCATTTTCTAGCTGCTGCAACAAAACGAGGAAAGATCTGCATCTGGGATGTTTCCAAACTTATGAAGGTATACGATACACACAACCATTTTTTATTAACAAATTACTGATTAAGCATATCTCAATTTAAATCAAAGACCTCTTTTGGTTTTTTGTTGTTATTTCTCAGGTCCACTTAAAATTTGAAATCAATGCATATGATCCGGCTATTGTGCAGCAACTTATGTTATCAGGAGAACAGAGCTCAGGGGTCGACTCAAGGAGGCCAACACTAGCATGGCTAGAAGATTCATCTAGCTGCTCAGATATACCAAAATTAGAAGGAGACAGGTATGCCAATCTACAAAATTAAAATTAAATACTGCTATGTAAGTGGTAAATGCCATTTTAGTTAAAATCATGCTTTGTGAAACATAAGATTTGTAAGATTTTTCTTCATGGAGATAGTCCTTTTAACCACTGTGTATCTGTACATAATTCAACACTTTAAACCCAATAATCTAAATTTCTATCTTGCAAACCAGTTCCATTTTATTCCTGCT